GATCTTCGGAGGACAGAGACTAAACACTGAGAAGAAGGTACCTCTGATGTGACATTATTAAATTTCTACCTAGATCTGCTGAGCTAAGTTAAATACAGTGAACTCCAATGGAGTTTGAACATGTTCAGTAATTCAAAAACAGATCCTCTGTGACTAAATGTTGATAATTAGCCAATAACTCGGCAGCAAGACAAAACAGGATATTCTGCTTTTACCTAATTATTTCAGGAAGGCTTTGTCTGCTTTTATGTGACACCTTAGACTTGTCTCTACACCTTTTATAACCATTTCCCTTTGCCTCTTTCAACAACTTTCTGGTACAACAACTCAGTGAATCTGGATTATCTTTTACATCTTATAGCAACAAACCGGGTGAGATCTGTTCTCATTTGGAAACTGCAGGGCTCAGAGATGCCTTCCTTCATCCATTCTTACTTCAACTAGGATTTCTCCTGATACAACCTATCCTGCCAGCTGAGCTTCTTCAAAGAAGTGTTTAGGCTTGACCTCTCTCTGCTCTGACTGCATCCTCTGCTTTGGAGGCAGCACTTGAGATGACCAGGTGGGAGCAAACAAACAAACAACAAAAATAGAGTGGGGATGGTAAGAAGCTTACAGAAGTACTGCTCTGCCTGTACAGATTGGCATGTTTAGTCACTTTACAACCTGACATAATAAAGATGTTGCTTTTCAGATGTTTTTCTGTGATGATCTGTGTACAGAAAAAAAAAATATATATATATATATATGCATATATATATATATATATAAATAAATGGTGCTAGGAACAAATCAGTTTACAACTACAATATCAAGGCTTGACCAAATCTATATTAAAAAGAAAGAAAAGGAGCAGATCTTGACTCCTGCTTTAAGACCTGAGAGAAGACCTGAAATTTATGTGGAGTCCTATGCAGGTGATGCATTATTTTTACCAACATTTAGAAAACAAACAAACAAACATATTATCCTCCTCCCAAAACCTGGGAGAAGGAGTGTGCTGGGAGCCTGGTCTTTCTCTAGGGTTCCCACAGCAGTCATCCCAGATGAATAAGCACAGGCCAACATGCAAGCTCTGACTAATCCTGTTCAGATAAGACAAAATTCTGAGTTGCAAAAAAAGAAGAAAAACAGCCTTTACTTTCTGACAAAATGTAAGGTGGTAATTCAGCACCTTGCTAATACTATTCTGCTTCTTATTAATTCCCTTTAAAACCCTTAGCTTTTAGTAACTTTATCCTCTCTATATATAAACTTTACATACTTCTCCATCAATGAGTGCAAGATCCACTGTTGTCAGTGGAGATGTGTCTGCTACCTGCAAAGACTGCTAACACAGATTCTTGGACAGTGTTGGAGTCTGAATTTGACTGGATTGCAAGTGTTGGACCCAGTCTGACAAAATGCCCAAAGAACAGATGGAGGTGTTCACTGGCTGTGTCCTTTTCAAAGGTCTGGTGGCTGAGGCACTTGAAGTTGAGTGTAAGAGGTAGTTTCCACCCTCATCTGATTGCCCTGCCACCAACCCTTCCTTCCAAAGGCTTCTCTATTTGCACAAGTTGACCTTCGTATGAAGCAGCTCTTTTGCTACATAAATTCATAATCTGGGTAAGGAATAAGCCAAGTAAAGAAGCTGCTCCATATTTGCTACTTTCATCTCTGCTGCTTGAGCTGAAAACACTCTTTAGGCCATCCACGTTTTTGTCACTATTTGCAGAAGGATTAATGGCACTCAGCATAAAAATGAATGCCTATAGTGTGTCAACTTGTTGCTGCATTATTTTTCTACTGTAACCTTCACTAAGAGATGAGCTATCTGCCTTGGCAGTTTATCTTAGATGAACATATTTTTCTCTGCAGCATGCCAGCTTGGCATGGCTGTAACTGGACATGTTCAGACCTAAGATCAAGCAGAAAAGTAAGAGAATAGAAAGTAAAAAAAAAAAATCAACTTACCTCTCTTCACAGTTTTATTAATTTGCTAAATATCTGTTTGGTCATTTGATTCATGCTTGTGGGAGGAAAAAGAAGGCAGATATCTGATGTTCAACTTCTGCTCTTTTATGAGCTGCTCAGCCTTACAGGAAATCTGAACAGTTGCCGAAGGCATTGGGTGTGGACTTGGGTTTTAGGGGAGAATCAAATAGGCTGTAAAAAGGAAAAAAATAAAAATGAACAAATAAAATGGAGATAACAGATTTTTTCAACTTTGTAAGAATGTGCCGATTACATCTTCCACCCAACAGTTTCCCTTCTGCAGGAAAAACAAAGTCATCATCATCACCCTCCCTATAATCATCACATCTTCACAACGTTGAAAAGAACTCCTCTTAAAACTTCAGCCAATTTTTGTAAATTTTGGCAGAAATTCCTGTAATGTTTGGGGTGCTTCTGAAAACCTATGAGGGGCAAACACAGCTCTGATCAAAAAAGGTCACTCAGAAAGACAGCACTGATGCTGTGAGAAAGGTAAATTTTCTTCTAATGACTCCCAGTAAAGCTGTACTTACCTACACTGGAGATTTTCTGAACAGTGGTTTAAAATGCAGTGCCATAACAATTATTTAAAATGACACTGCTCAGATGGCGAATGTTTCCTCTGTCTGTGTTCATGGCATGACCTTGGGTAACCCTGCTGTACAGCCTTGGTGATATAACAAGAAGCCACGTTCATTTATATTCCCTGCGCTGAAATTCGATGAACTTTCTCCGCTTAAATTCGGCAAATAGCCACTAGAGGGCATCTTTTTTCTTGGTTTCTTCCACTTCAATAAATAATGAGCTTCATTATTTCTCAAATTCTGTTGTATAATTCTTAAAAGATGAATTTTCTGTTATTTATTCCACCAAGAATACATGTTCTCATGATCTGCAAGAAGAAAAAGCAGCTCCTAAAATAAAATCACTTTCAAAAAGGTTTTCTTTTACACCTGACTGCAAAATGCTTCCACAAACGGGTAAAGAGAACATTCACGCTGATTTCTTTTTCATTTGAGTCTGAAACATCTCGAGCACACGAAGCAAGTGGTACTTTCCAGCATTATTTTTTTTTGCCCATTTACCAGGACTCGTGCTTTCAGAATACATCAAATTATGTAGTTAGAATGAATGCTTCAAAATTCACCAGGGATTTTCCTTCCATCAACCTGCTCCTCATTTTCTCCTTGCTGAGCTCCTTTGGGTCCAAAAAACAGTTCCTAACAAAGTGTCTGTGATATTCAGTCAGGATCTAGGAACAAGGTGAAGTGCAAGAATTACTTTACATGAAACAAAAAAGCAAACTGGGCTCTAATCTGCATCATACCCATCCCAATGGTAACTGTGTTAACTCCAGAGATTAAAGCATTGGACAATTTTATTGATAACAGTGAAATAAATATGGAAAATCAGATATAAAATCCCCCTTTGAAGGCCTTAAAACAGCAGAAGTCAAAGGCAACTATGAAATGACCTGTCTGAGAATTGCTGTGTTTATTTTGTGGGAGCATGAGGCACATGTAGACAAGCAGAGTCTGTGTATCTCTGTGTACAGAACTTCTAAAAACAACATCAGGCTGGTACTGTTTAAAAAAAAAAATATTAAAAAGTGTAAAGTGTAAGGCTGGCTTCTGATGAAATTTTCTTTAAAAAACATATTTAGATTCTATGCTGTATACCCAGACCACCCATCTGACATGGATGATAGGTGAGGGTGAAGTTCTGCTGAGGTGAGTAACATGATGGAAACTCCAATATATTCCTCTGGACTTCTTTGGTTCTGCTGTTATTTCATGGGAGTGACTGTTGAAGTCTGTTCTGCAACCATGCTGCCAGCTGAAGGCTTCCAATCTGAGCTCTTCATTGAGGGAAACACCATTTTTGAAAGAGCCCCACTGTGCCCCATCTGGAAGTGTCTGATGCTATCTGTGCCATGTGTTCAATGGCCCTCAGCCTGTGGGCAGGAAGGCTCTTCCTTGGGCAGCCACAGAAGGAAATATGTTGGAGAGAAGGGTTTGGTGTGGGAGTGGGTTGGTCCAGGAGAGAAATTCTCCCTTAGGAAGTGGTCTGCAACATGTGAAAGATGGAGAACCACCAATATAACACATTCCATGGGCAAAAAAAATAAATGCAAAGGCAGATAGATGTAGCCCTGGCAGCTACAGCTTTGCACATGAGCTTCTGTCCGGGGAGATGGTGGAGTCACCGTTCCTGGAAGCATTCAAAAAATGTGTAGATGTGGCACAGAGGGACGTGGTTTTGTGGGCAGCATTGGTGGTAGGTGGACAGTCAGACCAGGTGATATTAGAGGGGTCTTTTCCAATCTTAATGTCTTAATAATTCTATGCTTCTCTTAAACACGCACCAGCTACTATAGCCATATGCCTGCTGCCCAGCTGTTTCCTCCTTATCAGAAAGTGTGCTGAGTTTTTTTTTCTTTTTTTTTTTTTCTTCACTCCATCTGCCACTCAACAAACTGCATTTCAGCTCTAGCAGCAGAGTGCCATGAGAATAATGTGCAAGGACCTTTAGATGTTATGATCTGGACTAGCATCTGTGCAGGACGATCAAAATATCAGGGTGAGATACTCCTGTGCCAACCCAGAGGGCTCTGATTCTGTGAGTACAAGGGAGTTCTTCGGTCGAAGGGAAAGTGCCATGAGTGCAGGGTCCCTGTGTACCCGATCGCAGCATGCTGCTGCTGCAAACCATATGCGTGTTCACCGTGCTGCTCAATGGAGCAATTGCTTCGCGGTGGCCGCGGCTGGGACAGACTCTGGGAGCAGCAACAGTGGGTGTGCGCCTGGGCTGGCGGACACACGCACACACACACGCGCGAGCAGCCCATTTGCTGGAGGGGTGTGCATGTGCGTGCGAGGGTGTGGAAAGGGGTGGCGGAGATGGAGGAAGGGAAGCCAGGGGAAAGTCTGACACTTCGCGCAGAAGGAGCGAGACCCTCCGCCGCCGCAGCCGCCGCCGCCGCCGCCGGGGAGGAGCCCGTCCGGCTCGCAACGCCTCCCAATCCCGATCCCGGCACCGGCCCCGGCCCCGCACCGAGCTCAGCCCGCACCGCTCCACCGCTCGTCTACCCGCAGGTACCACGCAGCCCCACCGCTCCGCGCCGCGCCCCGCAACACTTTTCCTCCCATAGAAAGGTGCAGGTAGGGGAAGAAGTGCATGAGGTCCCTTCTTCTTGCTAATCCCGGAGCCTCCTCCCGGCTCGGGACGCCTGGCACCTGGCGGCGGTCCTGGGCCACCTGCCCGGCTAACAGCGAGGGGGTGGGAGCCGGGCTGAGGGGCGCTGCCCTCCGGCTGTTCCTTCGTTCTGCCCTGGGCGTGGTGGCACTGAGGGGTCGGGGAGAAGGAGTTGGAGTTTGGGGTTTAAAGGCTGTGATGTGGTGGGAGAGGGGTTTGATCCCGCAGCACCGGCACCCGTGCGTCTGCTTCTGCTTTGCGTAGGTCTTAGGGTGATGCGACGGACAAAGTTAGCCCGCATCCATCAGGGAAACTGTTGCGTGCTGAGTGGTGGCAAATTTCCTTCTATCCCACATAGTCCTCCGGCACTGCCATGAGTGCAGCTCTGCCGGACGTGTCCATCACTTGGAGCAATAGAGCACCTGATGGGCTGGGCTGCTCAGTGGAACTACACTGTTTCTCTTTGGGCACTGACAACCCCTCCTCTGCTTTGTGCAATAACACAGAGGGTGGCAAAGCTCCTCAATTTGCAGCATTACGAAACGAAAGTTGTTGCTTCTAGAGAGGAGTCATTCCTGAGTGTGTTAGGTAACTGGTGGCTGTGTACTGAGGAAGCACAAAGCAGCCACCTATATTTCCTTAGAAAACACTTCACTTTGCTTTCAAATGGGAAAACTTGTGCAAGAACAATAGAGATCGATGGGGCAGTCTGACCAAGAGCAGAGAATACTGTGCAGAGAGAGCAGCAATTCTACCCTGCATCTGTGGCTCTGGCAGAGGCCAAGAAGATGCGGGCTACACTTTGGCAAGCTTTTCATATGCTGCTTTTGCTTTTTTTCCTACTAAGGTGTAGATCTAGACAGTAGGTTAAAGTGGGTTGACCTACTGTTAGCCACTGGTGTATGATATGGCATAATATTTTACTACTGTTTTCGAAGCCCTCATTAGTATAATTGATGTGATTTTCATCTGCCTTTTAGTTAGCTTATTATGGGCCTGATCCTGAAAGGCACTGGTCGTCATCTCCTGCAAAGGTTGTAATAGTCAAAATCTTTCCTAATTTAGTGAAAGTTGGGTGTCTAAGTATCTTTCTAAGGAGCATTCTAAACTGTAATTATCAACTTGCTGCCGGACAAAGGTACTCAAATTCTGCAGGTGTCACTCTTTCTTAAAATTTCCAACACACATCCTGCTTTGAAATGCTTCATATGTAGCAGCATTTCAGCCTTGATCCAGCAGAGCAGCTTGGCTTCACTTCTGCTTGAACTTTATTTTGGCTTCAACATCCAGACTAGCCTGAGATCCAGGAACTAAATTTACTTTCCCTCATTCTTACCATTGGATCAGTTCAATGGGGGTTCTCAGAGTTAGGTGAATAGAATGGACTCCCCATTAGGTGCAGTGCTGAAGCATAGAAATGTGCTCCAAATCAGGCAGAATTCTCCCACAGTTGATATGAGGGCTCTGTACAAGGCATACTTTAACCAGAAATGGAAATAGAATCTTCACCAGTACCCTTTGCTGTATGTCTGTGGTTACAAGAGCTGATACAAGAAGCTCTCAGGACAACAATCTCAGGACAAGAGAAGTATCTACAGTAGTTCTGAATAAAATTAGTAAATATCAGAAAGGTGTAATTGGCTTGGTGGGTTGCTGCAGTCAGAGTCCCTTGAAGAGCAATAGCTGAGTTGGAGGCCATTCTCCTGTACCAACATTCACCTGCTTCTCTCCAGCTGCTGTGCTGTCAGCAGAGCAAAACACTCTTCATAGCAGCTCTGATCTCATCCTACTTCTTTTTTTTTGTTTTTTTTTTTTCCCTGTTGTTTGCTCTTTGTTTGCTCTTTTTTTTTTTTTTTTTTTTTTTGGAGGAGGAGGAGGAGGAGGTTGATGTTTTCGCTATCTTCATTATACAAGTTTTATGGCATCCTTGCAAATCTATTTAGATTGAATTAATTGAATTAAATGAAACGAGTCCCTAGGAAAAAAAATATTTTAATTAAGCTAGAATATTAAATGGGAATTGATGTTGTTCATGAGTCCTTTAAAGTTTTTGAGGATGATGCATCATTATTACACAGAGATTCAATACTGATAATTAAGCAAATCAGCACTTTTATAAAAAGCCAAGCCTAAGCATGAAGCAATCTCAGCAAATCCTATCCCTATTTTGGTTCTATCAGTAGTGGTACACTGAGCATCTCCTTCCCTGTTCCATCACACAACAAGTAGAGGTGTAACTTCTCTATAAAGTCAGAATCTTTATGGTTTATTCTGCAGAAAGTCATAATCTTGGAGAGCTGCCCTGTAAGAACGCTGTCAGCCTAAGGAGATAAAAATAATTATATATTTCTGGATTCTTTTTGAATCTTCGTTTTGCAGTTTCTCTTTTCATTTTGGTGTTATAGAAATTTGAAGTCTTAGATTTTTCTTCACCATTTAGCGCTGCAATGTAGACATACTGGTTACCTATGGCTCTGGAGGGGCTGATTCATCAGCTGGGAATCAGCTGAATTCCCAGCACATACCAGCATGTCTTTGGCTAAAACCCCTAATGCTGGAATTGGCCACTGAGCCACCTCTGTAGTCTTTGAGGTTTCCTACACGAGGGAATCCTTCACTGCTAGTTAAGCAGGCTTTCCCACCGCACTCTCCTGGCAGGGCAGCCTGTGGGACAGCCAGGGCTATATTTGGCCCATTGTCTTCTTAACCCAGGGAAAATGCTAAAGATGCAACCTGAGTGTCCTTAAATTGATGCAGTGAATGTGTGATGTCTTTGCTTTCCTTGCCTTCTGAACTTTCTCCAGATGCAAACAAGCAACAGAGAGGATCAGAGAAGAGCAGTGCCTGTGAGACATGGAGCATGGTGGCTGTATTTAAGCTATGTGTGAAGCAATTTTTTTCTCTATGGGTGTGCTATTTATATCTTTTTTATAGTGCTGCCTCTCTGTCACATGTAACAATCTCCCCCCCTGCCCCAATATTTCTGTCTGGGTTTCATGTATTTCATGAACTAAACAATGGCAATGAGTCAGTGCTTAAATTATCTCTATGTAAATCTTTAGCCCTTTTATCTTCCCCTGTCTATTCAGAAAGGCACCTCTCTGGCATTATTTTTCACAACCTAGGGGCATGCTGCATGGATATCCTTGTGTTATCTGACAGTGGGTAAAAAAAAAAAAAAAAAAAAAAAAAAAAAGAGAAAAGGAAAAAAAACCTTTATTTTTGACCCTCCCCAGCTTAAATGGAGTCAACGTCATATGGAGTGAATCCAGGATGACTCAGAGAGCAGTGCTACACTCCAAAATTCCAGTTTGTGTTACAGCTGGGAGGCAGCATTTAGCATCATGTGGATTTATTTTCTTTTAACGGGAACTCCAAAATAATTTATGGAAGTCATATAGCCTAATGGACAGAACAGATAACAGTTAGCCAAGAAGAACCTGGATTCCCATCTGGGTTGAATCATTGACTCAACTTGACTATCAGAGTTGTGGGTGTGGTATTCAGGCTTAGAACATTATACTGGCCTTAACTAAATCATTGCCCTTCCCTACAGCGTAACTGGAAAATACGATTAAGGTTCAGAGCTCCACTGGTACTTAACAGTTTATCAATAGTCAGCTTTACTGATCGGACTGAGTGCAGTACATAACAGACATTTATCTGCAGCCTTAATTTGCAGGGGGAATCTGAATTGGTTCAGAGTACGTGTGGCTAAAGATAAATTTCTGCTGTAGAGCTTCTGTGTACATGGAAACCTGTAACTCATGAAGACATTCCGCACTGCATGGATTCACACTGTATACGTTACTCAGCTTTCAGTAACACACACCCTTTTTGTACATCTATGCATTTTTTTCCTTGCTTTGTTACTGTAAACACAGAGTCATGTGAGTTTTTCCTTTTGATGTGGTCAGTCTAAAAGCTAAACAAATATCCCAAATTAAACAGTTTCCAATCTAGCTGGTCAGTGAATCAGGAGCCTTGCTGGAAGCAGATGTGATGCAAGAGAAAGGAGACTAAAAAGTCATGTAACCTGTGAGCATACCCAATAATATACAGATTTCCTTGCTGTTGTTTTGTTATTTATTTTTTCTGAGAGGGATGTTATCCATTTTCCTGGAATGTCTCCTAAAAATCCTGAGGAAACTGTAGCCATTTCTCTGATCTCATCTTGTGTCAGCATAACTCAGGTCTAAATGCACTGGGAATAGAAGGCCTAGGATTAGCTGAAAATTACACAAAACTAAGATTGTCATGAAATGAAAGACTTGTGCCTGTTTGCAGTTGATCTGTTTTTAGCGACTTCAAGGGACTTAAGCATGTGTTTAAAGACAGACTGCTGTGTGAATGCTCTTTTGAAAGAGGCACTTTCCTACAGTCTAAATCTAGGGTGAGATCAAGTCTTTTAAAAGTTAAGTGGAGTCCTGAGGGCTGATGTGGCCAAATATTCCAGCATAATCTTGGCCAGAGCTTTAACAGTTAGAACAGCTAGATCTAATGGTATGTGCCTACCTAGCTTGTTATATTCCCCTGGAATTTATCAATGACACACTGCATATAATTGTGGTTACTTTTTCTCTGTCTAAAATCCTTTTTTGGTTTTGTAAGGGAAAGATTGCAAAGAGGGAGAATGTAAAAAATTCTTTCTCAACCCAAAGCAAAAAAGTTGCTTTTTATTTTTTTTTTCCACAATGAAGAATTAAAACAATGTCTGTTGCTCTCATGCTTAACGTCAAAATCTCTGCTAAAAAATAGTAAGAAGAAATATGATGGAAATTTCATATGGAACTTATTCCCTGTAATTTTATAATGCACATATGTAAAGTTTTATGAAGGCTTATACTAAAAGGTTTTAGAAGATGAAAACTGTGTTCATAACATCCTTTGGAATCAAAAG